CTTTAGGTTTTCCTTTGAAACACGCATTTTTTCAGGGTTCAATCTATGCTGGCACATTGTCTTGATAAGCTTCTTTCATCAGATGCTATTGTAAGAAAGGCTGTCTGAGTCCACATTTGTTTACATTTATTAAAAATAGTTGTCATGTGTTTACATAGCTCCTTTGATCCAGAAAACTCCCCAGACACTTTGTAAGTTATGCTTAAAAGGGTCACTTCCTCCACCCTGAACAGAAACTGTGTGGGGACCAACGCATGGCAGCAGATTAAAAATGCATAGAAATATCACCATAATTCAGTCAGACCTCACCCTCTCAGAGCACCGTCAGTTTTCCATCAGCTTCAGAACAGTTACAGGGATCATAAAGGTGGTTTGGACTTTGGGGGCAAAAAGTAGTGAAAAGACCATCTTGCTGGGGGTTGCGTGTATTTCATGCACTTTCTTTTGCTTTGCAAATAAAGCAGCAGCAGTACCTACTGCACAAAGCATAGGGCTGGCTATATCCCAGCTAGACCTCGTGTTCCCAGTTTTGGTCATCTCACTCCAGAGAAGACACAGATCAGCTAGTCAGAGCCAGGGGAGAACAGAAGAAAGGATGGAGTGAGAGCACCTGAGGACTTGCAGAGAAAGGTGGAGGAAATTGGTTGTTCAAACGAGGGAAGGCTGAGGTGAAATATGGTTAAGTCTTCAAAACACGTGAAAGGCGGATGAGAAGAGGAAAGGAAACAACCTGTCCATGGGGACAGGAGAAGTCACGCACTCACACTGTAGCAAGGGAGATTTGGTGAAACATTAGGCAGTAATTCTGGACGTCAGGAATAGTGAAATGCTGGAAAAGATGTCTGCAGAGACTCTGGAATTGCTATCATTGTAGGGATTTTTTGAGACTGGATTAGACCTACATGTCAGGAGGGGTTTAGATCTTTTTCCTGTCTTCGGGACAGATGGGCCAGAAAGTCCCTTCTGGTCCTATCTTCTGTCATTCTGCTGTGGTGTCACAGGTGGTCAGATGAGCCCTGCTTATACGGATAAACCAAGTCATGCTAAAAATGAGTTTGTGAGCTCCTTGCAAAGTCCTCGCAAGCTAAACCAGAGCAGAAATTCCCCCCAAAGGGTTGCATGTGTGTTTGTTTTATTTTTCAGTTTTAAAATGTTTCCAAATCATCAAGGTGCTTCAGTATGCCCCCAGCATAGAGGACTTGAATCATGTAACTGGATTCAGTAGGGTCTGTACACAAAGCCTGTGCCTGGGGCCCCATTTTTTGGGAAAGTTTTACAAGTTCTAATGATAGTAAGACAATGTATGACTAATGCTCTGATTTGAAAAACTGCCCTATTATCTGATCAAAAGTACAAGCTCATGAATATGATACCGCAGGTCATTTGGCTAAAAGATACCTGGAGTCTTCCAAATTTTTAAAACAATCCCATACACAGAAGCAAGAAAGAGAGGTATGAACAGTGGAGCCAGTGGTTGCCTGTTCGCCGCAGATCATGTGGAATGTTTTATTAAAGACATTTTTATCGGACACAAAAGGCTCAAATACAGAATATCATGGGCTGGCAAGAGAAGGCGCAATAATTTAGATGATTATCCCTCAGATCTGTGATGCATTTTTATTATTCTCTGTGTACATTTCAGGAATGATCAAAACTTCCCTGAGGACAGTGGAAGGTTTCCAGTTGAGTTCAGGGGACTCTGCTGCTGCTTTCATTCTTAGGGAAGGTCCGAGGGTCAGTGGGATCTTATGTGCACATGCAAACATGCTCAGAGGGAGTTTGGAGAAGTCATCTCCTGACACAAGGGCCACGTCTAAGATTAGGCTGTAACCTAACCTGGCTGTCTAGGGCCCCTCTGTAACCCCTAGGAAGAGAAAGACCCCGAGAAAGTACTCCTTAGAGACCTGCAACTGGAAAGAGGTGGACCACCTTCTGGAGAGATTTCTCTCCCTACTGACTATAGAACAGCCTAATTACAAACTCGGACTAGAGGTTTTACAAGGAGTTTTGTAGCATTTGGTAAAAGGGATCATTCTCTTTAAATATCTCTAAACCACCTTGGCAGCCAGCTAGAAGTAGAGTTGCGTTTAAGAGAATGTCTTATATGGATAAACTGTGATTCATTTTGCGTGCCTTGTACACATTAATGGAAATGCATTGTTTTTCTCTTGTAAAGCACTTAAGGATTTTTTAAAAACAACCAACCCCACCTAACAGTATTTATCTTAAGAAGGAAGCCTTTATAGAAATGCAATGTCTTGAAAAAGAAAATTACTTCACTGACTGAGGAGAAGAGTGGTCAAAAATTCTTAGGTCTTTTGACAGGATTTTAAGTAAACTGTAGTGGTTTTTTTTCCCTAAAAAATACCTGTTTTCAAGGGAGGAAAAAAGAATCAACAAAAAAAAACAACAAAACACTTCTGGCAGTTGACTAGAAAATGGAAACATCATACAGAAACGTAAAATGTTGATTTAAGGCTGCTTTAGGAATCCCTTAGATGTAGCTGGCTAATGAATGGGCTCATGATTCTTTTACGGGTTCCCTGGGCAGCCTGTGTCCCCCATCGGTCATCTCACACAATGCATCTCTGAGGTGCAGAAAGACAGTTTGAGCAAGGGACATTTTAATCTCACTGGAGGATCAAGCCCATAGAATGTGTCAGGAGGAGGATACACCCAAACTGCAAATATGAATGGCATTTTGGCAATGTTTTTTAAATTGAAATTGAAAACCAGACCCTTCCTGCTGTTTAAAATTTAATTTAGGTCTAAATTGTGTAGTTCTGTAACATGACAAAGAGTAACCAAAAGATGAGTACAAGCACCTACACATACTTGCCTTTGGGAAAACTGATACAGGGGAAAAACCCCAAAATTATGATCCCACTGTCAATGTTGTGCTCAATCTGTGCCACACAGTATCACTCAGCAGGATAAATGAGATCTAAATCAGAAGTTAGAGCATGACTGCATTTCCGTTGAATTATTCAGAGCGCGTAATACCTAGTTTTGTCTGAAGTATTCTTTAACGATGCTTTGCATCCGCTGTGGGAAGGCCATTCATACTTGATGTTACGTATATTATCGGAGCTCGGATAGACAGTGCCTAATCTGATATCATTCTTGCCAGCACTAACTTAACCGCTCAAAAAGCTGGACAAATTTGAAACAGCGGCATTAGCTTATCCCAGATCAACTCATTGTATTAAGTGACTGCAGTGGTTTTGATGCAATACAGCAGAAGCTCTAAAGCTATGTGTCTTGTATCATCAGTTCAAGACATAAACCAACCACTCACCATGGGAATTTAGAATAAGAGCTTTCTCCAGCAAGACTTGATTTCAGAATTTTCTACTTAACAGTAGTTCTTCTGGAACAAGCACGGCTACTCACTGTCTAAGACCTAATACTGGTTAGATGGATTATCTGTACCATGAAGCAATTCCCATGTCTTTAATTCTAGACTGACTTTTCTTTTTACTCTATTTCATTGCACATTAGTTAAGGTCACTTCTAGCTACAGAACTATCCTACCCAGATGTGGTGACAGTATAAAGGATGAGGGAAGATGTGAAACTAATTATCCCAAAACCTAGGATGAAGTGTAATGCGCAGTGGTTGTCTGTTGGATTTGATGTTGACCTGCGTGTGTGTTTACCAGTGCCCTCTTCTGGGTGGACTCCAGTCCGCTCACAGTTTGTGATGGACTCAACACATTTGAAGCATCTGAGTTAAAAGCTATCTTGGTATTGATTAGACAGAAAAAGACAAAAACCTTCAGTGCTACTAAGTTCTATTTCTGTGCATGAATCTGGAGCAAGGTATTGTTCCTTTTATCTGATACTATGCAAGACGCAGCCTTTTTCTTCCGAAGTCAGGATCTCAGATACTGTAGCTAAATATTGGTAGGACTGCATAGTTTCTTACCCCATAAAAAAATTATTTGACAATCATTTTCAGTGCCTCTAAGCCCCCTTTATGGAGGATTTTAAAAGTAACACAGATAATCTGCAGATATTAGTGTCACATCTTGTTCTCAGGGGAACTTGTCTTTTTTCTCCTTGCTGTGCAGCAGAATGTCTTGTTTTTAAGTCCAGAATCCACCTCGTGCAGTCTGCGTACTCAGTAGTGCTGCTCAGTGACAACTGGTGGGTTGTGGATTATCCAATAATGGATGCAATGGATGCATTTTATGAAATGGAGATTGCAATTTAAAACTTCCAAAATCAATTGTAAATGGACCTTTTTGACCTTCAGAGTCATGGGAATCGTGATGAATTCCAACCTGCACATTCCAATCAAAGCACTAACTCAAGCTACAATCAATAAGCAATCACACCGCTATTGAGGCAAATCCACAGACAGGGAAACTTCACACTGAGTCTGGTTTTGGCTTTCTGATTTCATCCAGAATGGCTTAAAGCCAGGAAAAGAAACTAAGCTGCTTGGTATCTTCTGCTCAAGGTTATCAGTTGTGTAAGGGGATTCTGGGAAATTCTTTATGGCTCATGAAGCAGCAGCAGTCCACATTTTCTGGTCCCGCCCTGGACTTAGTGTCCAGAGTGTCCAGGCCATGGTGAGTAAGACATGTCTGTGAGACATGACAAATTTTGAGACCTCTGGTGGCAGGAAGGTACCTAAGAACATAAGAATGTGGTCATCCTGGGTCAGCACAAAGGTACATCTGTCACAGTCTCTGATGCTGGCCCATGATGGATGCTTAAAAGTGTGAGTGCAATAAGTTAGATATATCAGGAATGATCCCTCCCCTGGCTGTATTCTACCAGCAGCCAGAAGCTGAGGGACATCCTGAATCAGAGCTGTTTCCAGATCATCACGCTTATCAGCCCCTGGGGCTCTCCTTGCATGTCTAACACGTGCAAACAATAATAATAATTGTGATTGTCATTGTTGTTCTTACTGCCTCGTAGAATGACAGCTCACACGAGTATAGATAAGGGTTCTCTTGTTTAATTTCCTTCTCTTGTGTTTTCTTTTAGCACCACCACGTTGCCTTCCTATATCAGGATAACCAACGGCTACATCACAGTCAAACCTCCCATTTGGATTTCAAACCGGCTGGATCAGAGACCGCGTTCAGATCGCCCTTCCCAGCCTCAGCCTACAAGCTCAGCTTCAGCCAGCCTTTTATGGCCATCAATAACTTCTCCTTTCTGCATGGCCATAGCTTCTTTTCTCCTGAATCTACTGCAGCCTTCCTGACCACATTAGTATTATGTGCAATCCCTTGGAAAAGAGAAGAGAGATAATTTATGAATGAATCAGAGGTTAAGACAACAACAGTTACAAGCTGGACCTTCTCAGCGAATCAGTAGTGCCTTCTAGCTGATTTTGTCTCTTTGCCCAGATACAATTTGAAACTCTAAAGCTTTATTGTAACACTGACTTACATCTTCTTTTTGTAGAAGGATCTTTATTTCCCATAGTGCTATGGGGTTTTGTAAAATATACATGTTCATATAAAGAAAAAAAGAAAAAGAAAAAATGTATTTATTCGACTGGTAAACTTATTTTTCTTGTTGTATATGTTAATAACATCCCTATTAATCAGTAGCGATGGTGAAACAGATAAATTAATATTTTCTATATTTGTTTTCTAACTGACAACTCTGCAAATGTCTGAACTGACACCAAATGAATGGCTTCTTTGTTTCTTTAACCATTACTTTTTACAGCAACTGTCCAATAAGTAAATTTCTGCTGAACTTCTTTATTTTACCTTCTTTTATCTCATCAGCATAGTTTACACTGAATAAAGCAGATCCTACTCTCTGTGGCCTATGCCCATTAGAAAAATAGATTCATTCTTAATCTAGCTGCTACAACCTAAAATCCCAGATATTTTGATATGATTTACTAAGTCATTAGTCAAGATAATCCTCTAAGATCCCCTGTTATCTTTTACTCAACTATTCAGCTTCTCTGAAAATTACCAATTTCCCTCTTTTCCTTGGGATTAATTCATTAGCTAATGCAAATTAAGACACCTTTTTTGAAATAAAAAAAATTCTTTTAACATCTGGAATAATCCCACTGGACTTATTTTCTTCTCTCCCTCATCTTACATAAACACAGGCCTACAACCTTTCCCAGAGTAAATGAGAACAGAACTTGGTCTGTCTATAGGATATAAAGGTGTTGTATCCTGCTAATCTATAGAACTTCTTTGTACCAGTTGTATTAATGCATATGGACAACCTGGAGGGTAAAAAACATCTACAAATTCCTCTTCATCTTGCTGTTATGATGCGTAACACAGATATCTCTGTGCTGAATTATGACATCCAAAATCTGTTCAAGACCACAGGAACCAAATTAAGCCCTGTGTCATGGAGACATACAGAACATGCCTTCGTTTGTAGACTGTGGTACTTCTGATGACGTGGAAAAATTGAGGCACCTTACAATCGCCGAAAAATCTGCTCCCTGTCCAAGCAGCTACCTCTCGTGAACATGATGAACAATGTCTATGGGAAAAAAACATGTCTGTCTTAGAAACTACCATGTTTAATGAGTCACGTTGATTTTTTTTCCCCAACAAAACAAAATGAAAAAATCCCTTCGGATGCAAGAGTTTCAACCAGAAAATTAATTTTGGATGAAATAATAGCATTTTTCTTTCTAAGCTGTCTGCAAACTGTAAATCCAAAAGATGTGATGAAAACATCTTTGTTAAAAAAGAAGATTCAAAAAACAGAAAAATACAATGCAAACTTTTCTTTACAAAAAAGCAGTGCTTTTTCACCTGGGAAATAAACCCACATATTATTGTCATGATTATTATAATATTACTGATAAAAGTCTGACAGAAAACAGTCATGTCACTTTCCCACCAGCACAACTGCATGGTCTCCAGGACTGGAGAGATGATTCCATGCAATCGGAAAGTCTCTGCAGTGAGAGACAGTTTAGGATTCATGGTTTGTTTGTCATTGTACCAGGTAATGCAGGAAAGTAGGTTAAGAAATAATTAGACTGCAAAAGGTGCATAGTTTTGTTTGAAACCATGAAGAAATACTCAGCTTTTCCATCATGCATCCCAACCCATTGCCTTGCAAAGTCCAGGGAGAATACAGATAACTTCTTTTTGACTTACTGCACACCATGACCTCCAGCCTTTGCTCTATTTTTGACGAAAGGTTGTGTCGATTTGTGGTCAGTTTAAGTGGGTACAGCAGACAGCGCTGTAACCTACCCTTATTTTTTTCAAGGACAACAGTTGATAAGGCTGAATGGAAAACTTTGAGCTTTGCCACAAATGTGAGCTTCAAGCACGCCCTGTGCATACTTTTATATTGTGTATTTTGGCTAGCAGAAGATTAGAGATGTTAGTTTTGGACAGAAGCCATTCACCTTGCATAATATTTATTACATAGGGCTGGATATTGGAAACATATTTTGAGAACTTTCATTTCAGTTTTATTTGAGCTATTACCCTAGAAATGCCTTCATTTGAATATAATGGCTTAACAGACCTTCAGGTTCAACCTTAATGCATTTAAAAAGATGATTGGTTCTCCTGCCCTATTCAAGACAGAGATCAAAGCTGAATTATTCACAAAAATGGAACTGGAAATAACGTAGGCAAATCTTAAGGGTGATGATAAGTTACATAGTAAAAGTGAACAGCCAACGAACCAAAACCCATTGAATTTTATTTGTTGTAATCTGATCGAATCCAGAAATGAATCTGTGGTACCATCCCAGAAATAATTCCAGGTGTCGGAAAACTTACAGTATAAATAGACAAGACCACATAAAGATAAGGGAGAGAGAAAAGAGGAGAAAACAGAAACAACTTGACCATGACCATAAAGAAAACCACCAACAGGCCCAAGACTAGAACTTACAGTTCTATAGTTTCGCAACCTGTGGCTTTCTCCATAAACTAACTTTCTCCATTTTCTCTAATACTAGGAGCACACAGATATTCTACACTCACAGCTGTGATTATACCGCACAGAACAGTCACTCTGTTCGTCACTGATGAGTTTTTTTCTGAGTCACTCCTCCGTTGGACAGTAATATTCAATATTCATTAGCTGTCATGCTAATTCATTAGCATATCACGGTATGTTTGGATATGACATTATGTAAATAGCTTAGATGTCAGAGTATGTTTTAACGTATTTGCATTCCCTGGCATTTTGTCCGTCATTCCTGTGAAATGAATGAATATTGCTGGAGCTTACCTATTTTCCCTTGCGGTGGTGCCCTTCGTTTCTCATACTGCAGTGCAGGTGTCAAAGCAAGGTGTCTCCTGGCTTTGGGGTCCACACACTTGACTTCTGCCACCTAAAAGCATCTAGCTGACCCGGTCGTCTGCGCTTCCTCTGGTTAGGGGAGAAGACATGACTTTTGACTTACAATAAATATATGATTAAGTAGCTTCCCATAGAGCCTAGCTCAGGAACCCCACATGAGTGGCTTCAGCACAGTTCTTTAACCAAACATTTATTTTATTCTGTTGCCTTACCCTAAGGTGCGACTTAGGGTAACTTTTCTCAATCCATGGCATATAAGCACAGCAATACTAGAAAATGAGACCCTCACTGTGATTGATAAAATGGATTATTTATTAATCAGCTACAGCAGCCCAGTATTAATTAAAATATACTAATACTGGTTAGCACAGATCTATGCACATCCATTGCAACGGATCAGTATTATATTCACCATGAGTTTAAAAAGTGTGCATCAGATTTGATACATGCTCTTGAAGTAACACTGACCACCAGCTCCATGGGACATCAACTGGGAACCGTTTTCTTTCTTCCAAAGGAAAGCTCAGGTTCCCAGGTAATCACGAGATTCCAGGAGCAGGAGATTTAACAAAAATATTCATGCCTGCTATATATAATAGCAAACACCAGTGATAACTACTTACATCTGAGAAACACAATCCAGAGAGTCACGCAACGTCTATCAATCGAGGACCTGATTTTGAATGAGTCCAAAGCTGAACGTTCATAAAATTCGTCTTTTCAGCGCAGCTACAACTGGCACCAATACAATTCACATTATAGGTAGCTGTAACATTATAAACAGGTGCTAATTATCTGCCAAGCTGTTGCCCTGGAGGAATAAATATCCCATGCCACCAGCAGCAGATCTAACTTCCACTCTTTCATTGTTTTAATGCTTTTCTTGCCTGTGTTTAACTATGGATGCTATATTAACATGCATTGCCACTTGGAGAACCAGTTAGTAAGCTGGGACAGAAGGTATTTTCTATTTTATGACTGATGTAGATTCTCTGCAATCCCTCGGGCTGTTGAATAATGCAATACCTCTTCCGGCAATAAATGATGAACATGATTTATGATAACTATGCTTTATACAGGTGTCAAAATCTGCTTTGTTGAACTTCCCTTCCTATTCCTCCAAGCTCCACTGTAATTTAGGAACACCCAAGGTACAGAGTTGTATATTTATCTAAGTTCTTCAGTATACAATTGTGGAGAGGGAGAGAGATGGAAAGAGGGAGAACTTAATCTATGTTTAGTGCGTTGATTAGTCAAATGATATGACCCCGTCATTACCATATACCACTGCTAGAGAGGAATTTCCCATCATATATTTATGTTGGAGAAACCAAAGTGCCAGTTATTATCTCAGCATAAATGTTATCATTCCAAACTTTGCTTAGTGCCATAAGATATTTCTCTATTATATTCAAAAAGCATATGGGCTTGTCATATCTCTGAAGTGATCAATGTTCCATGGAGTGTGCTAGAGTTCAGCTTCAATTTAAGCTTGTTTCAGCTTAATTGAAGCAGAAAGATAATTGTCTAATTGTAAGATCATGGGGGGAGGGCACACACCTGCGTGCATAACGTGTGCATGTTGTCTGCGTGTGTTTTGTCCCAACCCAAATGCAACCTTTCCTGTGACGAGCTTTTCAGGAGGCACCTTAATCTAGCTCAAGGCAGAGGAGTCTTTCCAGTAAGCAGTCAGTACTTTTCTTCTACAGGAACTACTAACTGTCCTGCAGATCGATGCTCACACTGAATTTTAACTTGCATGTTTGTCAGTTTTCAATTCAAATGTATTTCAAATATTTTTTCCTGTTCCGCCTCCTGCTTTCGTGAACCGTTTTGAAGAGTGTAATAAAAAGATGCTTTCTAATATTATTTTGTCAAAATATTTTTGTAGCATAATATATTAATAAAATGTTATTATAAATCCATAGCACAAGAATCTCATATGTCTAGATTCTTTCCTTTGCACCAAAAGCTGGGGAGTCACTGAAAAAGGGGAACACCCCGTTCGTAGGGCTTACATGCGCCGCTTTCCTTTTGCCCAAGGCACGGATTGGGGAAAATCGTACCCTGGGGAAGGTTCCTCATAAAATGATGTGGTTTTGTCAAGTCCATTCCTGCGGAGATTTGGAGAATCTCTCTGTGTACCTTTCTACCAGTGAGAAATTGCTGCCCCTGGGGTGTATCGAGTCAGTCTGGAGCAGCCGCGGCCCCTGATGCGAGAGAAGCCACGGGCTTAACCTCATGGCATGTTTTGAGGGGGACTGGGGGAGAGGGAAAGGCTCCAAACGGCGGATACAGGGCCTGGGAGCTGAGCTTGCCTCTGTCCTATCAAATGCGCAGTGGGAGAGCACACAACAAACCCCACAAGGGCCTTTTTGGTGATGTGGAGGGGTGGGGGAATGCGGGAGCAGGGAAGGACACCGACCTGAATTCGGGGGGAAAGCTCTGGTGTATGGATGAGTGAGGCGGAGGGGGAGGTTTGGCTGTTTCATTCCTGCCTCTGCTCACTTGCACGCTGCCCAGGGTAGCGCGTGGCGAGTCCCACAGCCTTTGGGGCAGACACGGTGGCACGAGGGACCAGAGCTGGGGGTTGGAGTGAGACGATCACGTGGACAGCCAGAACATGCTCCGTGGGGCTGACGGTGGCATTGCCGGCCAGTTGCCCACTCCGTGCCACAAGCCCGTTCACCTTGTCAGCCGGAGCGAAAGCAGGACCGAGCTCTTCCTTTTGAACGGCTCCC